CAAAGGGAAGCTGGACATCACTGTTATGAGATTTAGAGTCTCTGCAATTAAAAGGTGGACACACATCTGGGGAGCTGGACCCCACCAGATGGGATTCGTCTTTCTTCTTTTGGAAACTGGGACATCACCATCTGGGGATACTCCTTTGAGATACAACCTGAGAAACTAAGATCACAATAGTGTATAGGATTGTGATGTAATAATTTGGAATGAAAATTGCTGATGAGTAAAAGATTGGAAATAGGAACTGCTGAAAAAAACTGATGAGTACCCCTATAAATACCTGTAACCCTCAATTATCGGTGTGCAGCTGGAGGGAAAACTTCACCCACTGTACCCAGCTCTGTATTGCTCATACTTTACCACATTAAATAATAAATTGATTGCTGCTTGAATATTGGCCTAGTCATGAGATTATTAAAAAAAAAAATGAGGGGAAACGCTCAGTTTCTTCCCAATAGCAGTAAAACCTGGGAGTAGCAGGATAAAAATAAATAGCAGCAAAATATATTCTTGTTCTGAGACCTAGATGGGTTTCTTGGGCAGGAGTGCAGGAGGATGATCCGGGTCTCCAAAAGCAAGATCCTCTGGCCAAAACCAAGAGGAAAAGGCTAAAACCAATAAGAAAAGACCACAACCAATAGGAAAAGGCAAAAATCAATAGGAAAAGACCACAACCAATAGGAAAAGGCCAAAATCAATAGGAAAAGTCCATAGCCAAGAGGAAAAGACCAAAACCAATAGGAAAAGGCCAAAATCAATAGGAAAAGGCCACAACAAAGAGGAAAAGGCCAAAATCAATAGGAAAAGGCCACAACCAAGAGGAAAAGACCAAAACCAATAGGAAAAGGCACACTGTGGGGCTGGCAGAGGGATGTGAGTGCCTGCAACTCTGTGGATTTATTCTCTGCAGCTGTCCCTGTGACACCAAAGGCAGCTCAGCCTCTCTGCAAGGCTCCCTCAAGGCTCTGCAGTGGAATTCACACACCCAGGTGCTTTTATCCTCCCATTTCCAGGTTCCAGAGGAATCCAGAGGAGCAGCAAATCTTCCTGCCAGTGTGCAAGAAAGGTGGTGTGGCAGAAATGTTCCTGTGCCACAGCTGGTGGCTGTCCTGACGCTGAATTAGGTCCTTTGGGTGCTTTTTGGGACACCTGAGGGTGGGTGCTGCTGTGCCAGCCTAAGCCAAGCCTGTGTGAACTGCCCCAGCTGCAAGAGAGGAGCTGCTGTTTGTAAAATGGGCTTTAATTGCTGTGCCTGCTTAGTTCAGCATCATCCTGGAGCACAGTTTGGTTCAGATAGGGAATGAAATGAATCCCTGGGAGATGCATTGGGAGCCTGGAGCAGAGTTTAAAACGTGCACAGAAAGCTGCCACTTGAGGACATGGTTGATTTTTATTTATTCATTTTTTTCCCCTTTGAGCTTTGCTGTCTATGAGAGGAAAGGAGAAGTTTGAAATCAGGAATAACAGGTCACAGCTGAGCCCTTGGAGGGGGAGAGGAGCCAAATTGCTTCTGGGAGTGTGACAGCAAAGTGAGCCAGGCAGGCAGAGCCCAGGGTGGCAAAGATGGGTCTGGGGGCACAAGCAGCTCTTGGGGCAGTTTGTACTCATAAGGGTTCATGTAAATATCACCATTAAGTGCTCAAATAAATTTGGTGTTTGTCCCAAATGAGGTATTCAGCCCCATGTGCAAAGGACCTGGTCTTTGGTGCTTACAGCATGAAATAGCTCCGGGATGAGGTGAGATAAGGGCAGTCTCTCCTTTCCCAGCTGCACTGCCCGAGGGGTTAAGGCTGCTGGAGGTTGGAGGATTTGTTTTCAGTGCTCAGCCCGGGGGAGGTTAAAGCCCCTCTCCCCAAGGGCTGCCCGGAGCAGCAACAGCACCGCCAGGAACGGGGGGCACCCTGGGGGCTGATTTGGGGTCAGTTCTGGGTGGGTGAGCGGGGCTGATTTTGGGNCTCTGCCTCCAGCGTGCTGAGCGTGTGGGCAGCCTGGGCCACGTGCACCCTGTGCGCTGCCCTCTTGTGCAGGAGGCAGCTGAAGATCTTCTTGAAGCCCTTGCGGAAGTGCTTGGAGACCAGGGCGTAGACGATGGGGTTGACGCAGGAGTTGGCGTAGGAGATGACGTGCGAGAGGATGCGCAGCACGTATGTGGAGTGGTTCAGGGGGAAGTGCCCGAACCACACGCACAGGATCACCAGGTGGTGGGGCAGCCAGCAGAGGCAGAACAGCACGGCCACGATGATGATCATCCTGGTGACCTTCCTCTTGGCCTTCTTGGACTCTGACATGTCTTGGAGGGGATCCACGGAGCGCCACAGGTAGCGAATGGTCCGCACGTACGTGAGGCTGAGGATGAGCACGGGGATGATGTAGCTGAAGATGAAGGTGCAGGTGTCCATGATCTTGCGCTGGGAGATCTCCCAGATGGGGTGGCAGACAGTCAGGTTGGCCAGCTGGAACTCCTGGTAGTAGCTGAGGTAAGGGCCCGAGAAGATGAAGGAGAGCCCCCAGATGAGACAAATGGCCAGGAGGGCGTTCCTGGGTGTCCTCAGCTCCCTGGAGTGCAGGGGGTATCGTATGGCCAAGTACCTGCAAAGGGAGAGGGACATAGCTGCAGTGCTGGGGAGGGCACAGAGAGAGCATCGCCAGGAGCAGGTTGGACAGACGGCAGAAATGATGGATTTGGGATTTCCAGGGCTGTGGATCACACAACTGATTCCCTGGTGCTTCTCAGGGACCCTGTGCAGCACAAAGGACTGAGGAAAATTCTCTCCCTGACCCTGTCCCGTCACACTCTGCTCTTGGCAGTGGTTGTGGGGACAGTGGGGATGTTCCCATTCTGTCCCTCCCCTAATCCAGCAGACCCTCACCTGACCATCACCGTCTGGCACAAGTGACTGCAGCAGTGAGGATACAAAGGCAGGAGCAGGTGCCCAGGAATCCCAGACACAGCATTCCTTGTACTGGCACACATGAGAGCACATCACCCCTTTTCAGCTCTGTAATTAGCTGGTCCCTTAATTGCACCCAGGTCTGAGGCTTGTGTAAGCCCCCCTTGTCCAACACCTCTGTTCCCTCTGTGGGACACGGGGAGAGGCAGCCCCTGGGGT